TGCGTATTGTTGTCTTTGGGGCAGTTATTCAGCCTGCCAGATAGAAGCATATAAAATTGCTAACAAAAAAATAAGCATTAACTTCTTTTCAATCTGCCAGTAGAAATTCGTAACATAATTATCTAGTGGTCTTGTGTATCTATATGTATATTTTCTTTCCTCCCTTCCCTCATCCCAGTTGTGCTTTCCCTTTGAACAGTTGCTTTCTCTTTCACAGTATCTGTTGGATCTTGAAAAATTTGCTCTTTCAGGTTCTTAAATTAGGGAGACAATACAATGTCTAGACATGTGGCTCTGATTTATTTCACTTATAGTATGGTTTCCAGTGGCATCCACTTACCTACTAAAGCCTCAAGCTTATTTTTTCTTACAGCTGAGTAATACTCCATTTGTAAAAGTGTCATATATTTTTTATCCGTTCCTCAGCTGATGGGCATGTGGGTTGTTATTACAAATTGTGCTTCTATGACCTTGGGTGCATGTGTATCACTGTGCTATAATGTTTTCAGTTCTTATGGAAAAGTAACCAGTAGGGGAATAGCTGGATTGGATGGGACCTCTAATCCCGTTTTTTAAAGGAACCTCCACACAGATTTCTACAGTGGTTGTGCCAGTCTACCTTTCTGCCAACAGTGGAGAAGGGTTCCTTTTCCCCCAGTCTTTTCAACATTTGTTGTCAGTCGACTTCTTGATAATAGCCATTCTTTCTGTCATTGTTTATGAAATTTGCTTTCTACAACACATTCAGCAGTATTGAGAATTCTGTTTTTTTTTTTTACAATACCATTGGCACACAGTTTTCAGAGTCTTTTTATCAATCTGAAAAGCAAAAGGTACTATGTTATTACGTATTTGTATTGTTTGTTTATCTTATATACCTTTTGTTTTAAGCTTATTTTTCTTTTAAAATTATCATATTGATATTTAGAGATGTGTTTGGTTTTTGTGTAATTTTAGATTAATAGATTACATATTTGCCATATTAAAATAATATACTTTTACATTATGTGTTGCAATTTTATAACATTTTTGTGTAGCTAAAAGTATGAGTTACATACTGTGCTTACGATTTTTCCTATAGGGATCTACTGAGAAAAGCTAGCCTCATTTCAAGATTGTATTGCTTGTGCAGGGATGCAGCTCAGCAGCACCAGTGCCTGCCTAGCAGGAGCAAGGTCCTGAGTTTAATTCCTGGTACTTGTCCCCATCAAGATTATATTGCTTGTATTTTAGCCAGTACTTTTAATTCTTACACTGAATTTTTAATTTATGTGGAATTATTTTTGTTGTACATAATTGAGGAAATGATTAAGGGTTGTGGCCAGCTAGCTCAATATTTTTATTTCAGTAATCCACTTATCCCCTGTTTAACATATGACATAAATTCTTCATTCTCTTTTGTGTCTCTCCTACTCTGCTATCTTCCTATCTCTTCTAGTACATCCCACTGTTATTTTCATGAGTGTATTTCCTTGTTTTAAAGTGCATGTGTTAGCTATGGACTTAACCCCCTGAACGTGCCCCATCTTGTCTAAAGTACAAGTGTCTCTCTTAGTTTACTGAGCTGTTTCCACAGGATTTTTTAAATAGCACTACTTGGAAGTAAACATTTTACTTTAATGATTGGCCCCATTTGAAAACTGGTGTTTTTTAAAGAAATTTGAAGATACAAATATGATTTTTGGTTCAGGAGAAGTACTGTATGATTGTGATGTGTTGTTGGGGGTCACTTGAAAGGCACTGCATTTAAAATTTATTTCTTAAGACTAAAGGAAGTAATTGGGGCTTAAAAGTGGGGGTGTGGGACTAGATCTTAGGTGTGTGGTTGAAGTCGTTCTGTCTACATGTGGAGGCTCGAATAAAGAGGGGAAATACTAGAGAAATACAGAGAAAGCAGGAAGCATTATTACTATAGTATTGATGAGATATATCATGGAGAAAATGGAATAGATCATAAGATTAAGAACAGAATGTGGAGGAGATGGCCATGGACACAGAGATGTTAACATGGTACCAAGTATGGGGCTGAGTCAGAATTTAGTACTGTTAACGGTTCTCATTACTATTATTACTAAAGTTATCAATGTTTTTATAATCTTAGTCACTATATTGTACTTCTTGTTAACTTACTCATTAACCTTTTTCACTCAAAGAAGTGTTTCTCAATCTTTCTCAGTGTGAGAACTCCACTTTAAATGAAGAAAATTGTATAGATTATTCTCTTTCCACATTGTGTTTGTATTTTTAGTTGCAGTAGAGTCTTCTTTATTAAAGAAACATTGGTAAGCAGGAAAAACTTACTAACATGTGTATTTAATATAAAAAAGAATTCGTTAAATATAACAAATGAGAATCATGGCCTGCTATTTTTTTCTCCATGTTATTATACAAATAATTTTATTATGTGACTAGTAGATTTTTATTTAATACAGAATTGGTTATATACCATAATTTATTAGCATGAACTGTATTATAAAATGTTTATTAATGTATAAATTGTTTATTTCTTACTGTAATTCCTTGATAGCAGTCAGGAACTTAGAATACATATGTATTTCATTCTCATATCTTAATGTTTCAGAAGACTGTATTGTGGAATTATATTGTCATGTAATTTCCTCTTTTAGAGTGGTCAGTATCTACACAAATATTTTTGTGATATAATAAAAGCCACTATTAAATTTTTTTAAAAAAATGTATTTGTTACAGGGTCTATAGGGTCGCACTACACAGATTGGACTTGTGGTGATCCTTCTGTTTTCATCCTCCCAAATGCTGGGATTACAGGCCCATGCCACCACACCCAGACTCAGCTACCATCTCAGCTCAAACAAGGGGCAGGGCTGCCATGGCTTGTTGGGGATTGAACCCTGGTTCCTGTGCCTGCCTAAGCAGGTGCTTTAGTCTGTTGAGCTATCTGGCTGGCCCTATGTTATTTATTTTAAAAGAACTCGTTTGGACACAGCACAAAAATTAATACTAATTAATTTCTCTTGGTATTATTATATGGTAATATCAATAAATAATACCACTATTCAGCAGTATTATTGAATACATTATTAGACTGAATGTGTTCAACATTGTTGCTATTGTTACAGAATTAAAATGAAACACGAGTAATCTAAAGAAATATAAAAATATCCATAAGTGCTAAGTTGGCATAATGAAGATAAAAAGAGTTTAAGATGAAAAAAGATATAAAAGCTGAAGGAGAAACAGGGAGTAAATATATTTGCTATTGAAACGATGTGTTGACTATTCTAATTGAGCTTTACTGTGGCTCGTTCATTGTCCAGTGAGCTGTGTCCTCAGTCGTGGTTTACTTCATGTGCCTCCGTGGTCTGCATTGTATGTTGATTGCTGTAAAGTGTTTGTCATTCATGTGCCTCCGTGGTCTGCATTGTATGTTGATTGCTGTAAAGTGTTTGTCATTCACAGTTCAAAGAGCCTGACTGTTAAGGAAGGAATTGTATGTTGTAGTTATGCTTTGTGTGTCCTTTGGCCGTGTGATTCTGCTCAGTGTTTATGGTTAGTGGTATATGGAATAAAGCTTACATTACCTTGTGTTCTTAGATGTTAATGTATTGCTAATTGATAGAAATCAAGTTTACATGAGAAAGTATTTCTATCCAATTCACAGTTTTCAGTAGGTTTTTTTTTTCATATTTTGACTGCTATACAGATTTTAAAAGTTACTTTCCTTTTATACTTTGGAGCATATGCCACTCAGATAAAGACAAATTTTAGAAAGCAGGGTTTCCATGAGGCATATCTTTATTCTGAATTTATGTTTAGTTTTGTTTTTTTTCTGGTACCCAGGCTAGAACTCAGGACCTCACGCTTGCCAGGCAGGTGCCTATGCCATTGGGCTATCTCTCCGGCCCTCATATCTTTATTCTGGAGAAAACCACAGATTGGATAACCACTCAGGCAGTGCTGAGTGCTTTGATCATGCAGTCTGTGTACTGTATTCTGCATTCAGTTCTGTCTAGTTCTGTATTAGATGTTTTAATTATTCAATTGGGTTTCTCATCTTACAACACTGTCTTCAGTGTTGAACCACATGAATCTTACAATTATAAAGGAGAATTTTATGGAGTGAAAGTATCTAAAGTTGGTTTTTGTGCTTATGGTGTAAATACAGTGTTTAAAGGACCTCATGAAATGTAGTATGATATATTACTAAATTTGAATAATTTCCCTATGTTGCCATTTAACACAGATGATAAGATAAGAAATGACAGATTAAGATCTACCTGGGGGGCAGGGAGATGGCTCCTTGGAATAAGTGCTTCCCTGGCAAGCGCAAGGGCCTGAGTTCAATCCCCGGTTCTGAGAAAAAAAAAAAAAAAAATCTACCAAGCAGAGGGAAAACTAAATCATGTGACTTTTATGGAGGCATAAATACACCTAGTAAGCATTATTTGGAATACCAATTAGTAGGAAGAGCACTGACAATTTTATTTACTAACATTAACCACAATTATTAATTACATACCTGGTGAGTATAGCAGGAAGCAGGCTGTGTGGGCCTTGCTGGAACCTCAAGCCCATCACGTGCGAGCGATGAGTATTGAAATCCTGGAGGGAAATGAGTAACTGTAGTTGTGCAAATTTAATTGCCCTGAAATGAGGCAAATTATATTTTCTTGTCTGAGAATATAAATAGTGTGGCATTAAGATAGCGAGCTGTAGTGGTTACACATAGAAAATGGACTTACATAGGGTTTAAAAGAAAATGATGCATTCAGTGTCGTGCTGCTCCGTGGGGTGACACGTGTGCACTTTTCCTTTAGATGTATTTGGTTGGTATGCTATGTTCTGTGTTCTTTTCATACTGAAAGTTAATGTGAGGGGGACTTTTTGAATGAATTATGACAGGTGACTGGGAATTATATAATTGAAAGATACTGTGATTCGTGATATTGTGAAATGGACAAGGGATGATTCACTATTTATTTATTTATTTATTTATTGCTTTTCTTTCTTTTTCTTTGAAGATCCAAACTCCAGAATTTGTGGCCATTTACTCCTAAGTGCAGCCAAAAATTCATTTGCAAAACTCATGGATAAAATTAGTCTGGCAATGGAAAGTATGCCTCTGCATAGTAGCAGGAGTATTACCTATTTAGAGAAAGATTCTTTGGTCCAGAGGTTGGCCCGTGGGCTTCATAAGGTGAACACACTGGCCCTGAAATGCGGTTTGCGTGGCCATGTGCCCATTATGGTATGTATATAGTTTCATTTGAAGTGCTTTGTGACTTGTAGATTTACTTTTGAATGAGACTTACATATAGTTTAAGTTAGTTGTATA